GGATTGTTCTGAGGTGAATCAGGGCCGGGTTTGGGATTGTTCTGAGGGGGGCCGGGTTTGGGGTTGTTCTGGGGGAATTGGAGCCAGGGTTTGGGTTTGATAGCACCAAAATCTCATCAGAAGGGTTTTGACCGTATCTAAACCAGACGCTCCTCCCCTGCCAACCCGGAACCAAAGCCATGGGGTGGATTTGCATCGGGGGGTTTCAGTCTGAGCGCTCCCTCTCCCCACGACTAGCCAAAGGGGTTCAGATGCGAAGCCCTGGGCTCTGGCCCTCCAGAAGCAAAGCAGAGCCGGTGTCTGTTCCGGAATCGCTCCGAAGCACATGCCGGCTCCTGGAGGATCAGGAACGACATGTTTATGGAGCTTCTCTTGGTCCGTAGAGCTGAGGAGCAAACCAAGGAAAATGGTGATCAATCGTGTAGTCAGCTGCTTGACCCCACTTGGGTTGGCTAATACCCAAATAACCAGCATCAGTCAGGTTTATTGCTCTGACTCCAGAATAACGTAGTGCAGGGAAAAGGTTCTGTACAATCCCCGTCTCCGGGAAGCCGTCTCACATTCACCTCACGCAGAAGGTGCTCTCTGGGGGCCTTGCCAGAGCTGGGGTCCTGTCTGAGGCTCCACCTTTCATCTGACTTCCAGGAGAAGGCCTTGTCTTCCCTGCAGCCAGTTCGCCTCCACGCCCCTCCCGCTCCCCAACCTGGGCTTCTGAGCTCCCTTTAACCCGCTTCACCAGCCAGAACGCGCTTTCGCCTGTAACCCCTCCGGGCCCCATGCAGGGTACGGACAGCCCCTCACACCACCCAGAAACTGCTGCCCTTCAAATGGGCAGAGTTTTGTGCTTTGGAGAGCTGGGAGCCGCTGGAAATACCCAGGGCAGGGGGAGTTAGAAAGGGACACACCCTGGAGCCGCTTCACCCCAGCGTGGCTCCCTGCCAGTCATCTCGGGCGGTCTCTCTTGCCAGGGCTACCAGGTAGAAGACTAGTCACGGGGCCAAATTCCTCCCCGGCGTAGCTCTATTGAGCTCAGTGGCGTTAGCCCCAGGGCGGGGCGTGGCCGCCCGAGCAGCTCCGAGTGTCCCATCCACCCAGGGCTGTCTCTCTGCCCCAGGTGAAGCTGGACGTCACCTTGGGGGACCTCACCAAGATCGGCAAGTCGCAGAAGTTCACGCTGAGCGTGGACGTGGAGGGCGGGAAGCTGGTGGTGCTGAAGAAGCAGAAGGACTCCCAGGAGGACTGGAACACGTTCACCCACGACAAGAGTAAGAGCCAAGGGCCCCCGCTGGGTGCTGCACCCGGCCCGTATGCCCCGTGCACTCAGGGACCAGCCGCATCCCTCCTGGCGCTGCTGTTACCCCGGGCCCCCTTGTTTCTGTGGGGTGTTCAGTGTGTTGGGGCTGCCCTGTAGCATGCGGAGATACGAAATGATTAGATCTGGCCCCCAAACTGCGTCATTCAGGAACTGATCGCTCACCCTCAATGCCTCCTCGTGGCATGATACTGTGTGTGCCAATGACACCACGCCCGTCCCTCCAGACTTGGGAACCCTGGGGTCTTCCCTCTCCTGCTGCCTCTGCAGTGCTCGGGCTTTCTCCTGGGGTGGTGGGAGAGGAACGGGGCTCTGGGGTCACGTCTGCTCTGATTTTCCGTGCCGCTTTCCAGTCCGACAGCTGATCAAGTCCCAGCGGGTGCAGAATAAACTGGGGATCGTCTTCGAGAAGGAGAAGGATAAAACTCAGCGGAAAGATTTTGTCTTCGTCAGCGCCAGGGTGAGTCATGGGTCTATTATTACTGTGTCTGGTGTGGTCCTGCCCACGCAGCTCTGAGGCCGCAGGAAGGGAATGTGGCTAAATTAAAGCATTCGAGTGCGGTTCCATTCTGGAAAGAAACAACATTAAAAAAACCCAAAACCCTGTCTTAGGAGATCTTCCCAGGACAGCTGACTGCAGTGACGACAGGACGTCTTCACTCCTGCAAAGCCAACCCGGCACTGGGAGGGGGACGGGGCGTCTCTTCCTCCTTATCCATCATCGACAAGGCTGTCTGCAGAATGTCAATTGCAGAGACCCCAGGGGCGTCACAGCCTGGCCACCCCGAGGGTCACCGAGGGCATGATTAAAAGGGGTTGCACTCCAGGGCATGATTTCCTACAAAATCTTTACTGCTAGTGATGATGCAGGAGAAGTAAAGGACCCAGCTTAACTCAGATTCCAAGATGGGTCTGCGGGTTGAACGGAGGCCCAGCAAGTTAATAGGGGTACGGAGGTGCTGCCTTTAAAACCAAGGCCACAACCACACATGACCATTAATCATGCCCCGGCACCAGATTCCCCCCTGTAACTGGTTATGGAATTTTTCGCTTCCTGTCCTAAACAGCTGCATAGTTTGCTGTGCCCTGTTAAACACAAACCACGTTCCACCCCAGAGGTGGCTGCATTCCAGTGATGGGTGAACTATTGTATAGCCCTTACCTGTTAAAGCCCTTGCTGGCTGACGAGTGGGTGGCCACGACCAGGGATTGTACCTGGGTCTCCTGTCCACGGCCCATCTCCTCCTGCTGCCTAACCTACTGTCACGGAGTATAGGGGAGTCAGGGCCCAGCACCCCCCACTTCCTGTGATTCACCATGACTCTCAGCCAGCCAGTAAAACAGAAGGTTTATTAAACAACAGGACCACAGTCCAAAACAGAGCTTGTAGGTACAGACAACAGGACCCCCTCAGGTCCATCTTGGGGGTCAAGGAGCCCAGACCGGTGGCGCTCCCCCCCTTTTCCCCAGCCAGCTCCAAACTGAAACCCCCTCCAGCCCCTCCTCTGGCCTTTGTCTCTTTTCTGGGCCAGGAGGCCACCTGATCTCTTTGTTCTCCAACACCTTCAGTTGGCATTTGCAGGGGAGGGGCCCAGGCCATCAGGAGACAGGGTGTCGGCCATTCTCTGCAGACAGCATCACACCTGCCTAGGGCTCTGCAACAGTCACACACCCTTATCCCCCCCACCTAGATACTTAAGAAAGGCATAGGGGAAACTGAGGCACCCACACGGTATTCAGAGAAAACATTAAGAACATTCCCACTTCCTCACACTTGCCTCCTTTGCCTGCCTTTCCTCCAGAAGCGGGAGGCGTTCTGCCAGCTGCTGCAGCTGATGAAAAACAAACATTCCAAGCAGGACGAGCCCGACATGATCTCCGTCTTCATCGGCACGTGGAACATGGGTCAGTGCCACGGGGTGCCTGAGGCAGGGCTTGTCGGGAGCGGCCCTCAGGTGGCATGGGAACATGGGCAAGGGGGCTGTGGAGCGCTCAGTGCCCTGCGGGAGTTCCCCTCAGCCCGGGAAGCATGGCCCAGAGTCACAGAACGTATCCAGACCCGCTAAACACCTCCTTGAAGTCTGAGATCCCACCTCCGAGCCACATACCCTACCCAGCTTTCCTCCAGCCTCCTGCCGTCAGGACATAAGGAATCACAGCCCGTCTTAAACAGGAAGCGTTTGTTTAAACAAAACAGCTGCCAGCTCCAAGCACTAACAAACAGGCTTCCACCCTGCTCGCATTCCACTTTTGTCTGCCTTGTTCACCAGGGATCACACCTGTCTGGAACTCCATGCAATACACCAGAGGTGGGCAAACTACGGATGTGGCCCGCTGGACCGTCCTGCCCGGCCACTGAGCTCCTGGCCCGGGAGGCTAGCAGCCTCGGCTAGCTCGCTCGCTCGCTCCGCCGCCGGCACAATGCTCTGGGCGGCCGGGCAGCGCAGCTGCAGAGCCCGGCTTGACCCAGTCTCTGAGCTACGCGGTGGCGGCGGCGTGGCCTGGCTTCAGCCGGGCGGCGCGGCTGTAGTGCCGCCAGCCACTGGTGCTCCAGGCAGCGCAGTAAGGGGGCACGGAGCAGGGGGGGTTGGATAGAGGGCAGGGGAATTTGCGGGGGTGGGCAGGGGTCAGGGCAGTTGGGGGGGAACAAGGGGGTTGAATGGGGGCAGGGGTCCCGGGGGCAGTCAGGGGACAGTGGGGGCAAAAGACCTCTCTGGCTTCAAGATTAGGCTAGATAAGTTTATGGAGGGAATGGTTTGATGGGATAACGTGATTTTAGTCAATTAGGCAATAACGTGCCATCGCTGGTAAAATGAGGGTCCGGCTGGAGAATCTTGCCTGTATGCTCGGGGTTCTACTGATCGCCATATTTGGGGTCGGGAAGGAATTTTCCTCCAGGGTAGATTGGCAGAGGCCCTGGAGGTTTTTCGCCTTCCTCCGCAGCATGGGGCAGGGGTCGCAAGCTGGAGGATTCTCTGCGACTTGAAGTCTTTAAATCACGATCTGGAGACTTCAACAGCTGAGTTAAGGGAAAGTGGGTGGGTCAGCTTTTGTGGCCTGCATCATGCGAGAGGTCAGACTAGATGACCATAATGGTCCCTTCTGACCTTAAAGTCTATGAGTCTATGAGACAGGGAGAAGGGGTGGTTGGATGGGGCAGGGGTCCCAGGGGGCAGTCAGGAAGGAGTGGGGATTGGATGGGGTGGCAGGCAGCAGTCAGGGGCAGGGGTCCGGGGGCGGTCGGGGGACGGGGAAGGGGGGTAGTGGGAGGGGGGGGGGGCCCGGGGGGGGGGGGGTAGATAGGAGGTGGGGGCCGGGCCACAACCCCCTCCCCTAACCGATCCCCTCCCCTAACCATACAATTTACGAAACCCGGTGTGGCCCTCAGGCCAAAAAGTCTCCCCCCGCCCCCCCGCAATAGACAGTGACATCTAGTGGCTGAATAGCTTGCTGCAAGTGAACGTATTATATGTATAGCTACCCTAAGTTAGCCATAGCGCTGTTTTTCTGTACCAGGCTACCCCCCTGTTTTAGCAACCTGGGCAAGGCAGGATGGTTGCCACCTCCTGACACCTGTTCGCAGCCCCCTGAGAAGGCCTTCCTGTCTGATCCCCGCCTAGTCCCCGATCTCTGTGAACACACAGTAGGCATTGTGTGGTGGTTCTTGTCTGGCCCCCGACATTGCAGTCTCTGAGCACCTCACAATCTTCGATGAGTTTATCCTCACGCACTCCTGTGAGGCTGGGCCCGGCTATTTCCCCAACTGCACAGAAGGGAAACCGAGGCATGGAGTGGCTAAACGGCGGGCCCAAGAAAACCAAGAGAGTCTGGTGCAAAGCAGGGAACTAAACTCTGGTCTCTGACGTCCCAGGCTGGCAGCCCAACCACGGGCCCATCCTCCTAGGACTGAGCAGGGTGACCGCATCGGTGACCGCGGCTCTGTTGGGCCATGCCCTCTCCCACAGGAAGCGTGCCTCCCCCCAAGAGCATCACGTCCTGGTTTACGTCGAAGGGCCTGGGGAAGACGCTGGATGAGATGACGGTCACCATCCCCCATGACATCTACGTCTTTGGCACCCAGGAGAACTCGATGGGGGACAAGGAGTGGGTCGACTTCCTCCGGAGCGTGCTGAAGGAGTTCACGGAGATCGAGTACCGCCCGGTAAGAGCCCGAGTGCCGGGGCAGGGCCTGAGGAGATGGCTCTGCAGTTCTACCTGGCTGCACACTGGGCCACGCTCGTCTTGAGGGGAAGCTGCTGGAGACGACAGCTTCCCAGCATGCCATGCTCCGGCTGCGCGCCACTCGGCTCAAGAGGGAGCATTGCATGCTGGGAAGCTGTCGTCTCCAGGGGCTGTCCCACCATATTAAAACCCAGGATGTCTGCAACCTCCTCTGGTTGAGGGCCGCCGTTAGACTCCCAGCCTCCAAATCCCAGTGGATCCCAGGCTGTGGATGGCCGCGGGATAGCGGAAGGGCTCGGGGAGACGGTTGCTGGGGTGACCGTCCTCCCAAATCCTCAGCATGGCTGGATTTGCCACTTTCACCTCGGCTGGTGGATGGGAGACGGCTTAGGGACCGGGTGTGAAAGCCTGTGGCCACGGGCGGCAGGTATAATAGGCCGGGGGAGGCTAAACCCCCCAAGACAGGATGTGGTGCACCTCCCTTTGGAGCGCCGCCTGCTGTTGAAAGGGCACCTGAGCAGTAGCCCCCACCCCACATTCTGCCCTGAGGTCCTGCTCCCTTGTCCCTCTCTTACCCCATCCCCTGCCCCCCCCCCCGCTCCTTTCCCATCTCCACTCCACCACTTCCCCCGCACGCCCCTCTCCGCTCGCGCTTCTCCGCCCCTGAGAGGCAGAGAGGCACGCTCAGGGGAGGGGGTGGGGAGAGGCATGGCGGGGGGGCTCCTTGGGGGAGGGGGCAGAGAGAGGTGCAGGTGGGGGGCCCCTCAGAGGAGGGGGCTGAGTGGGAGCCGGGCCTGTGGCAGAGTGGGGGTGGAGCGTGAGCCTGGCCTCGGGGCAGAGCCATGGTCCAGGCGCCGGTCGCCCCCCACACTTCTAGGGAGCTTCCAGCACTCAGGCCCAGCCTCCCCAGTCATGCGGGGAGTCACACGCTGCCCATGCCTGTGGCCACAGGTCTCTCAGCCCTTTAACCTCCTGAGGTAGAGGCGTCAGCTCCCAGACGCTTTGCTTTTGGAGTGAGGGGTCTCAGCTACGTTATCTTTGGCCAGCATTTCCCATTCGCACCCTAGCATTCAGTGTGTTGTGCACTGGCGTCTGTACTCCCCCCAGAGGTGGCTGCATTATTCATGCATGTGTGAGAATTCAATGGGAGCTGGGTGTGTGTGGAGTGTCTGAAAATCGGGCTCTCAGCTTTCTTTCTTTGGGATCCTTCAGCACCAGCAGAGCTGTGTGAAGTGTAAGGCGTTATATTTAACAGGGCTTTTATCCCTTTCCTCCAGCCATGGTCAGTTCAGGAAGAGTCCCGGGTTTAGTGACTGCTCCGTGAAAATGTCCTGACCAATGAGGGGTCCCAAGCACCTGCAGCAGCACTGTAACCCTAACCCTGGCTTGGTGCAGAAGGGTGCGGGGCTGGAGACTGAGCCCATCCTGCCTTCACCCGGCCAGTGGCAGCTCCTGTGTCTCGCCGGCTGGGCCAGGCCTGTTTTCGCTCCGAGTCGGAGGTTTCCCCTGCTCCTCTGTCATGATGGAGGGGTGGCTAGGCCAAACCTGAGCATGCCTGGTCACCACGCTCGGAGCAGGGAGCCGGGCCCAGCCCCGAGGCACAGGAGCCACTGCTGCGGGGGAGTCCCGAACACGCAATAAAGTCACGGGCAAACGGGAAAATCATGCTGTCCAGGATTCTTCTCTTCTCGCCAGGACAAACCTGCAGCCGTTAATATAATGCTAGACCCAGCGACTCCTTAAGGCAGAAAAGACTTAGGAGGAAGAGAAGCCTCCTGTAAACATCTGGTTTGTGCCTTGGTGGTTCAGAAATGTCCTTGTTGGAACAGGGAAGGGGGGAGCAGCAGCTATCCAACGTGTCTGCCCCGGGGACAGATAGGACTACAATTCCCAGCAGCCACCCTGGCTGCTTTCAAACTTCATTTAAACCAAACTTCATTTAAACCTCAGTTTGCAAACACTGAGCAACAGGGACACTCCTGGGCATCTCGGTGGGTTTGTTCTCATTGCCGCATGCCTGGTTCTCGCTGTAGGTGGGGTTTCAGGGTCGGTGACTTGAAGGCAGTTGTTGCCTCCGAGCCAGGCTCCGGCGCCCCCGCCAGGAGAGCGGAGGGGTAACGTTGTCTTGTTGGCCCCCTGCCAGATCGCGATGCAGGCCTTGTGGAACATTAAGATTGCCGTCCTGGTGAAACCGGAGCACGAGAACCGGATCAGCCACGTCAGCACCTCGAGCGTGAAGACTGGGATCGCCAACACGCTGGGTAGGGGCCAATCTAGGCGCTGCCGGGGCTAGACTAGGTACCTGGGACAGACTGACTCGGCCCTCTGCACTCACCTTTAGCATGGCTGGCTGTGTGTGAGTGCGGGTGCATTCTGATATCCACATTGTGCCCCATAGGGCCCTTCTATGCAAGTGGTAGATTCCTCTGGTCTTGGAGTAGCAGGTCACTGTTCTAGTCCCTGTCGCTCTCTGCCTGTGAGTGATTTATACAGCAGTTGTCAGTGCACATGGATTCTTTGCACTGTGTCTGTATGTCCTGGCCCCACAGGCTCCAGTGGGGCTGGCATCCAAAATTAGCATTTTCTGACTCTGGGGGCACGGGTTAGATCTGGGGCTTGAGACTGGGACAGTAGAAGAGGGGACTGGATGGCTCAGAGGATTGGGATACAGCGCAGGGCCTTTCAGATGCAGTTGGCCATCCTGATCCAGCCTGGGGCACTAATCGTGACTGTCTGTGCCTCTTCACTGGCCTTCGTGAAGCGCCTTGGTGGGTCTCGCGCCAATTTCGGAGCGGTCAGGTGTCCGCAGCAGAGAGGTCAATGGCCAAATGGGCCCTGGAGACCAAATTTCTCTTCCTCCTCTCCAGCACAGGGTTGGGGCAAGTTACCACCAAGGTGGGTTGATTTAAAGCATCAGTTGTAATGTTGAGCTAAATCAACAAGCAGGAAAATGTGATTTAAATCAGGAGTCTCAAACTCCCGGCCCGCGGGCCATCTGTGGTCCGAGAACCTCCCCAATGTGCCCCGTGGGGCTCCAGCAATTTTGGGGCCGGGTCTCTCCCTTGGCCCCGCCTGCCACCCCTGTGCACTCCCACCCCTGGCACTCCCCCGGGCGATTTACAATGGCCCGGGGCCCCACCGACCACCGGCAGCGCAGCGGAGCTGAGCGGTGTCTGCCTGCTCGCTCCACGTGTCTGCCGGCCCTTCCCTGCGGCCCCGGGGCAGGGCTGTGCCTCCACGCGCTGCCCCCGCCCCGAACGCCCCTGCAGCCAATGGGACGCTATGGGGGCGGTGTCTGGGGGCAGCAGCGCGCTGAGGCCCCCCAGCCCGCCCTGCCTTGGAGCCCCAAGTAAGTGCCGCACCCCCCGGCCCCCTCCTCACATACCTCCTCCCGCCCCCAAACTCCCTTCCAGAGCCTGCACCCCTCACCCCTCCTCCGTCCCAGATCCTGCGACCTCACCCCCTCCTCCTGCACCCCCAAACCCTGCCCAAGCCCAGAGCCTGCTCCCAGCACCCAAACTCCATCCCAGAGCCTGCTCCCCAATCCCCTACCCCAGACCTCCTCCCCCACCCAAACTCCCTCCCGGAGCCTTAGGCAGGTGGGGGGCGGAGTTTGGGGGAGTGGAGTTTGGGGGGCGGGTTCTGGGCAGTATGAGTGACGTTATTGGCCGGCTGCGAGGATTTGAGGACTGACACTGACCCTAAGGTAAATTGAGTTTGAGACCCCTGATTTAAATCATCAGTTTTAATCATATTTTGCATTAGTACTTTTTAGTTACTCCCCTAAAGAAAGGTTGAGTCTCGTTGGCTGGCAAACATTAAAACGTGTTGATTGCAGCGAAATCCAGCCTTTACCCTAAACGTGGTGCATCTTTTTGCTAGGCAAGAGGATATACTACATCTTTACCCACTGATTTAAGCACTAGAGAGCTTGACTTATGTTTATTCAGATGCTTAATTTTTACCTTTTTCATTATGTTAGAAAATGGTGAATGACACATTTATTATTCACTCGATGATGGATTTTTTACTTGTGATATGTGCCAAGCTCTTTTTGGATGGAAATCCAAATTCAATTTAAAATGCACAAAAACCGCTTTTTACATGAAATAAAATTACCATAAATGGGCTGAAGATATCAGGAAAAATAGTTTATCAAAATATGTTTTGCCTTTAAAACTAAGTGACGTATTACCCACCGGAAGTTGAGTTGTAGTTAGTGAATTTAGCTGATTGTTTCTGGTCACCATATCCTTCAAGATTTTAGAGCTAGTAGATTTCATCCTCTCACACCTTGTTTTTGTTCATAGATTGGGAGAGGAAACCAAGCTTTCCTGCTTTTTCAGCTCCTTATTGATAGCTGCGCTATGAATGAATTAGTCATTGAACTGAACGAGTTGAATAAACTGAAATGAAAAATATATTCTCGTTGCAGCTGTAGAAGAGGCTACTGTTGTCAAAAGCTGGTTTAGCCCTTCAACAAACCCTGGGTCCAGGTGCTTAGCTGGTGACTTTCAGTGGTCTGACTGTCTTGCAAACATGTACTACTTAATATTACTTTCTGTAGTTAATTTAAATGATCTTAATAGATGATAACAAATTAAGGCCTTAACATAGGTAGTCAATTTCCATTTGAATGTTAAACCGGTTTCTCTTTTAAAAGTAAACCTGTATTTAATTTAAATATTAAAAGACAGTTTTTTATTAATTTATTTTTAAATCATCGATTTTTTTTTTTTTTTTAATCCACCCTGGTTGGCTCAGACGTTCCCTCTGCTCTGGCGTGAGAGGAGCCCTGGCTTGGCATGACCTCCGGCACAAGGGCACAGACTGTTCTGTGATGCCACAGTCCTTTAGCTCGGGAGGTCCTCGTTATTCGCCCTGCTTTAAAATGACCCCAGGGCCTGCCTCTCTGCATCTGCTTCTCCTCCCTTGGCTTGGTTCAGGGCTGGCTCTGCCATCTAAGGCGGTGCAGACAGTGCCCCAGGGCAGCCGAACGATAACACGGGCAGCACCTGGATCCTGGCGGAGGGGGCTCACGAGGTCCGTTACAGCTGGAGAGAAGCTGGGCCAGCTCCGGGTCTGACTATCCCCGATGCCAGGGAAGGCTAGGATCCATGGATCTGGTGCAGCTCTTAGCCAGCTGGGACTCTCTCCTCCCACCACCCACCCTACTGGCTTTGTGTTTTCTCTGCTCACTCCACGCTGCCGGCGCCGGCTTTGGCCACTGTGCGACGGGCCATCGGTGCCCGGAGCAGGCCTGGGAACCGAGCCCCGGCCTGGCCTCAGTGGGGCCCGCCCCCTCTCCCTCTTTGTTTTGCAGGCAATAAAGGGGCCGTGGGAGTCTCCTTCATGTTTAATGGCACCTCTTTCGGCTTTGTGAATTGCCATCTGACCTCAGGCAACGAGAAGACGGCCAGGTCAGTGTGGGGCGCGGGGCAGGGCAGCCCCTGGCAGAGCGGGAGCCCGTCACCTAGCCCTGAGGGTGGAGGGACTGGCCCCCTGGTCCCCCCAGGCACAAGTCTTGCCAGCTGGGCTGAGAGGGGAGCTGCTGGTAACTCGTGCCGCTGGCTGTGGGCAGCACACGAACATGGCCGATGACTCTGGCCGGGCGATGCTTTGGTCTCCATGGAGAGGCGGGAGAGCCAGGTACAGGGGGAGTCGCCTTGCACCGCCAGGGAGAGCCGAGCCTGCTCTGGGACATGCTGACACTCCTGCTCGCTTACAGACGTGGCTTGCTCACTCCTGGACACGCTCGCTCTGGGTACACTCGCACCTACCCCCGGCCACGCTCCTGCTCGCTCTGACACACTCCTGCTCGCTCTGGCGCACTAGTGTTTGCATGCAGCCACTTGCACTCCCACACTCAGTTTGGGGCACACTTGCCACACACGCATGCGCCGGTTTGAACAGGTTCGTCCGCTCGCACGCTCACCCTGGGGCACCCTTGCTCACCCTGGCCTTCGCATGCTCCTTCTCGCTTTCTTAGACACAGTTGGGCTCAGCCTTGCACACTTGCGTACACTCAGACACGTTTGTGCTCACCCCGTCCCGGCGTGTTTCCATGCACCGTCCCACACCCTGCTCCTTGGGGCCGCATCGCAGCACACGGCGCGTGTCGCTGTTAGCACGCGCGCGCCGGTCCCGCTGGACGGGCTCTGGAAGCACCGACGTTCCCAAGCTAAGCAGCAAGTGCGGCTGGTGGGTCGACCGCCAAATGAGGAAAACCGTCCACCATCTCCTGCCCCCCCCGTCTCTCTGTCAGGCCTGGCGCTCTTAGCCTGGGGAGGGCGTTCATTCTCCACATGCCTTCTCCTTGGTAGAAGCCCTGAGAATATTAACACCCCCCCCACACACACCATCTGTCATCTGTACCATCCCGATGGATCCCAGAGGGCGGTTACACACGTAACAAGCCCCATGCAGCGGGTCAGCGCGTCTGCCTCTGGGGAGGAGCACGGCGGCGGTTGAACTGGACAGTGACGGCACTCGAATTAGGGCACCCAGGCAAACCCGCTGCTCTTGTGGGACGCGCCTGGGGATCTTCAGTAACGAGGAGCGGTCGAGGCCTTGGGTTTATGTTCCCACGGAGACTCTGATCTGTGACCCCTCCCCTGCCTCCTCTCTGCCTGCCCACCGCTCCCCTCTCCGACAGGCGGAACCAGAACTACCTGGACATCCTGCGCTTGCTGTCCCTGGGCGACAAGCAGCTCAGCTCCTTCGACATCTCGCTCCGCTTCACCCATCTCTTCTGGTTCGGGGACCTCAACTACCGCCTGGACATGGACATCCAGGTGAGGGGGGTGCGGGCCTGTGGGGAGGGGGCGTGGGCCCGGCGGGAGAGGGATGCAGCGTGGGGAGGACAGACAAGTGAGGGGTGAGGGGCACAGGCCCGTGGGAGGATGGGGGGGCCAGGCCTGAGGGGAGGGGAGTACAGGCCCCCGGGGTGGGGGGGCTGTGTGGCCTGTCCTCCCCACTCCAACCTGCCCGCTCGGCCCTGCCTCCTCCAGGAGATCCTCAACTACATCAACCGCAAGGAGTTCGAGCCGCTGCTCAAGGTGGATCAGCTCAACCTGGAGAAGGAGAAGCACAAGGTCTTCCTGCGATTCGGTGAGGGCGGCTCTGCTGCGGGCGGGGCGGGCGTCTGCTTCACCCACCGGCTCTGCCCCTTCCCTGCTGGGGTGGGGGGAGTTGTGGGGGGTCTCCCCTTTCCTGCTGGGGGGGGGTGTCTTCCCTACGGGGATCAACACTGCTGGGCCTGGGGTCCAGGGTGTGGACTGTCGCCCCCTGGCTGCTGGGGACGCTGAGGGTGGCCGAACCCAGGCTGTTTCCCCTCACGCCCCGGGCTGTGTCTCTGCAGGCGAGGAGGAGATCACCTTCCCCCCGACCTACCGCTACGAGCGGGGCTCCCGCGACACCTACGTGTGGCACAAGCAGAAGCCCACCGGGGTAGGTGCTGGGGGTGGGGGGGAAGGGAAGCTGGGGAGGAGCATTTGGGGGGCTGGGGAGGGCTAGCCGGTTCCCGTGGCTGGCTCTCTGGACCCTGTGGGCTAGCGCCAGGGGCCCTGCCAGGCTGGTGGGCGGGGGGAGGGCGCTTCCGGGCAATACCTCACCCCAATGTCCTGTGCCCCCTGCCCAGGTCCGCACCAACGTCCCCTCCTGGTGTGACCGCATCCTGTGGAAGTCGTACCCCGAGACCCACATCAACTGCAACTCCTACGGTGAGTGGGGGGCGTCAGCAGCAGGCGCTGCCGGCTGGAGTCACACCTGCTCGCCCTCACCACCGGGCTGCCCGAGTGGAGCGTCTCCCACGGGAGAGGCCCGGGCCTGTGGAGCAGCAGGCCCCGCGTTCTCGCCTCGCGGCTGCCGGCGTGCGGAGGAGCCCGTGGCCGGCGCATCTGCATGGAGGTGACCAGGGACCCAGTGCCAGGCGCTCCCCTGGCTGTGCCCGCAGCGCTGGCTGTTCCTTGGAGCTAATCCTGCCCCGGGCCTGGGACACCCTCTCTCCACTCAACCCCAGAAGCCCGTTCCCCTCACACCCTCTCGAGCCGCACAACACCCTTGGGGGGATGGTGAGGGGGCAGAGGGACAGCCCAGCCTCCCAGCCATCGCCCAGGCTCCCTGCCAGGGCCCTGCTGGCCCAGACCTCGTGGGCGCTGCCTCCTGCAGTGCAGCGGGGCAAGGCCTTGCGGGGCTGGGGCTCGCCCTGGGGGGCTCTAGAGGAAAGCCGTCCCGGGGGCGTGGAGTAGACAAGGTGGGGACCAGGCTGGGAACAAGCTCTGCAGTCTCTCCCTGCTAGGTCCCAGGTTCAAATCCAGCCCAAACCGGTCTAGTCGCAGAGGCCTGCGAGTTGCGGGTCTCAGTCTGGTTCTCACAGGGGAGGTGGGCTCTGTCCCCGGGACAGGGGTCTCTTCACCGTTAGCTGAGCGCCCCCCCTCCTTGTGAGCAGCCTCAGTGTGGGGGGGGCCAGGGGCTGAAGAGGCTGTGGGGAGCCTGGGGTGTGCACGCTGGCAGGGCAATGAGAGGAAGTGGGGTGGCGGGTGGGCAGAGAGGCCTGGTCCCCTGGGCTATCAGAATTCCCCACTGATTTCTGGTATGAGGGAAACGTAGTTCTCTCCCCGGCGATGTTTCTGAGGTGTGTATGGACGCCCAGCGAAGGGCCGGGCAAGGGGGCTCCAGCAGTGCCCAGCTCCTTCTCGGCTGCCCCACCGGTGATCCCAGCCCTGGGGCACTCCACCCCTAGAGAGGGACATGCCTTCCCCTTGGGCCTGATCAGCTGCCAGTCAGACCCCCTGCCTCTGCTGAGCCAGCACCCGGCCCCAGGTCCCCTGGCTAGCTCACCAGTGGAGTCTGCTTGTTGGTAGGATGCACTGACGACATCACGACCAGCGACCACTCCCCTGTCTTCGGAGCCTTCGAAGTCGGAGTGACATCCCAGTTTGTCTCCAAGAAAGGTATGGGGGGAAGGCGGGCGTGTGCCTGCCCTGCGCTGGGCTGGGTGGCTATCGGCTAGCAATGGCCAAGCGGCTCTCCGCCTGCCCTTGGCCCTGACTTGTCACTGAGCCTCCGTGGGGACACGGATGTCGCAGAGTTGTAGTGTTTAAATCCGGAAAGGACTGCTAGAGCATCCCGTGTGACCGTCTGTCTACTGCAGGCCACCAGCCCACCCAGCCCCCGCGTGCTAACCCTGCAGCCGAGAGAGACAATGCTCGGGGCCACCTCAGAGCCCTGGCCCTCCCCATCCTATGTCCCATCTCCAGCTGTGACCATCCCTCATGCCTCAGAGGAAGGAGATAAAAAAACCACTGGGGGAGGGGGAAATCCCTTCCTGACCCCTGCTGGTGGGCGATTGAAACCCTGAAGCATGAGCTTTGGGAAGGTAAGCCATAGACAGGAAGCGAGCCCCAGGGCTGCCGAGCCCTGCCCCTCCACCGTCACAAGCAATCCTGTCATGCAATTCCCACTCGTCCATTTGTCTAACTCACTTGTTTGCCCCCACAGCTCCTATTGATGGTTAGAAATTTCCTGCCTGAATTTGTTCGTGGTTGGTTTCCGTTTGTTCTTGTGCCAGCACTGTCCCGTAGCTTCCAGAGTTCGTCTCCTCCCTGGTGTATTCCTAGAGCAATCCGATTCCTTCTCCCCTTCTTGCTGCCACACTCTTCCAGTCTCCTCCCCTAAGACAGGTCCCCCACTGCCCTGATCCTCCTCACAGCTCTTCTCTGCACCTGTCCCAGTTTGAATTCCTCTCTCCTGAACACGGGGGAGCAGAACTGCACCGGGATTCCTGATACGGTCTCACCAGTGCCTTGTGCAATGGCATTAATACTTCTCTCTCGCTCTGCTAACGCATCCTAGGAGCCCGTTTGCCTTTTTCACAGCCGCATCACTCCGGTGGCTCCCAGTCCCGACCCGCCCACCCAGGTCTCTGCTCCTCTGTCGCATCCAGCCGATGAGCCCCCAGCTTGGAGCAGAAATTCGTACTCAACCCGAAGCATGTGACCTTGAACTCTGGACTACTGAATTTCATCCCATTTCTGTCACTCCAGCCTTCCAGGTCATCAGATCCTCCTATGTTCCAATTCGCATCTGTACTGACGCTGCCTTCTAACTTCGGGTCGTCAGCACATTTCATCAGCCCGCTCCTGCTTTTAGTGTCCAGGACCTTAAGAAACACATTGAATGAGATTGGTCCCAAGACTGCTAGGAACCTCCCTCCTGTCCAGTATTCACCTTTCAGCGCAACCCGCTGGCTTCTCCCTTTAGCCAGTTCCTTACCCACGTGACAAGTCTTGCACCTATCCCTAACCATTTCCTAGTGACACCGTGTCAGATGCCTCATTGAAGACCGAGTCTATTAGATCTGCTGCACCTCCCTTGTCTAAAGCATCCATTCTTTGCTCAAAGAAGGAAATCTGGTTGGGCTGGCACGATCATAGAAGCATAGAATATCAGGGTTGGAAGGGACCTCAGGAGGTATCTAGTCCAACCCCCTGCTCAAAGCAGGACCAACCCCAACTAAATCATCCCAGCCAGGGCTTTGTCAAGCCTGACCATAAAAACCTCTAAGGAAGGAGATTCCACCACCTCCCTAGGTAACCCATTCCAGTGCTTCACCACCCTCCTAGTGAAAAAGTTTTTCCTAATATCCAACCTAGACCTCCCCCACCGCAACTTGAGACCATTACTCCTTGTTCTGTCATCTGGTACCACTGAGAACAGTCTAGATCCATCCTCTTTGGAACCCCCTTTCAGGTAGTTGAAATCTACGATCTACCTTTGGTAAACTCATGTTGCATTACATCTCCTTTACCAGTTACCTCTCTGAATTTAATTATTCTCCTTCACAATCCAGTCTAACTCCTGGAATGCTGCTGCGGTCTAACAGGTCTGTAACTGCCCGGGTCACTTTTTTCCCCTTTCTTACATCCAGGGATGTTAGCTATTCTCCAGTCACACGGCGCTACCCCAAATAGCTAGCTGCATTAAAAACCCCTTCCTGCCGGACTAGCAGTCTCATATGCCAGTTCTTTCAGGATCCTGGGATGGAAACTATCCGCCCCCCGCCTGATTTGAGCTCATTAAGCTCGTTAAGTTTTTCTTCCACCTCGGCTGTGATAATTACCATTTCTAGACACTCGTTTCCATCCTGCCTTTGTCCACATGCTCTGATCCTCGTTAGTGAAAACCGAGGCAAAGTATTCCTGTTATTTTGGGGCCATACCTAGATGAACTTTAATCTCCTTCCCACCACACTGCAGAACAGCCCGGCCTTCCACCTGGGTGCCAGCTACTCAGCCTTGGGAATCCTCGCAACCTCACCACCCCCAGGCCTCACCACCTCAGGATTGCCAGACCGCAGCATGATCCTGTCTCACTGCCCCAGGAGAAGGCAATGCCACCCTAGGTCCATGCCTCCTTTCGGCTCTGCTCTCCTGTCCTCCCCTCGGCTGTGCCCTGTGGCAGTTCTGGAGCACCCTTTGCTCCATCACCCAACCCAGAAGAGAGATGAACTTGCTTGGGGCCCGGCAGACCTGGTAGCTCTCCACGCTTGATACCAGCGGTGATAAAAACCGAGCCGGGGCGTCTTCCTTGTCCCTCATATGAACCTGTGGGTCCTGTCTTCTTGGGGCAGCAATGGCCCTCTCCACAGTCCGGCCTCGTGGTTGGAACGCTGGACCGGGACTCAGCAGATCTTGGTTCTGTCCCCAGCTCTGCCACTGGTGACCTTGGGCAAGTCACTTTCCTGCCCCATGCCTCAGTTTCCCCCTCTGTAAAATGGGAATAACAACCCTACCCTCCTTTGTACAGCGCTTGGAGATCTAGGGATGAGAAGTGCTCGGTAAGAGCTAGCGAGGTGTTCTACTATTATTATACTCTGCTCCCAGGGCTCTCCAAGGTCTCAGACCAGGCCTACATTGAGTTTGAGAGCATCGAAGCTATCGTGAAGACGGCCAGCCGGACCAAGTTCTTTATCGAGTTCTACTCCACCTGCCTGGAAGGTGCGTGCCTGCCCCCTCCCCTTGCCTGCCTTCACCCATACCATGTAGCCCACTGGCTAGTGTAGACAAGAGCCTCTCCCGCATCTGCTGTGTGTGAACCCGTAGCCTGCCAGCAGCTGCAGCCGGCAGAGGATGTAAAAGTCCTAATTCTCCTTGTGCTAGTGGAGACTCTCCTTTAGCTCAAGCAGCAGAGACCTGCGGAGCGGGGGGGAGGAGCGGGGAGCTGGCTGTCCCCACATGGGGTCAACTTAGTCCTAGGACAGTTCCATTCTGGCTAGATGGGGGCAGGGTGGGGAGGTGTACCGTGGGACTGCTCCACTGTGTCTGAACACCGGGGGAGTGTGTGCCTAACCCGAGCCTGCCACTTCCTCGCCCCCAGAGTTCAAGAAGAGTTCCGAGAACGACATGCAGAGCAGTGACAACATCAACTTCCTGAAGGTTCAGTGGTCCTCGAGGCAGCTGCCCACGGTGAGAACTCACCCCCTCCCCCAGCCAATCACCCTGCCACCCCCTCTGCGCAGAGGAGACACCACCTTGTTATTGGTAGTAACAATCCCTAAATCTTTACAAAGCGGGTCAGTATCATTATGGGGAAACTGAGGCAGAGATCAGGAGCGTGACTTGCCCTGGGTCACCCAACAGGCCAGTGGCGGGGCCGGGAATAGGACACAGGTCTCCCAAGCCAGTGCTATATGCATTATAGACCACACCGCCTCCCTGTCCGGGTGGGAGAACGCGGGCAGTGGGTTCGATCGGCGGGGGAGCGAGATCCCTGTATTACTGCACCTTGCTCCGCCGTGCCCTGTAGCTGCCACATGCAGCGTGTTGGCCTCCTTGCTCTGAGTAAATGTCCATTCTCCATGGATTCCCCCCGGCTGCAGCTGAAACCGATTCTGTCCGAGATCGAGTATCTCCAGGACCAACACCTGCTGCTCACAGTCAAGTCCGTCGATGGCTACGAATCCTACGGTAAGGAGCAGGAGGGGAAGTGCGGCATGGGAGTAATGTCGCCCTCCAGTGGCCGGGTCACAGGGAGGGTAAGGGAGGGATCTACTATAGCGCCTGGCATTCTCCTTTGGCTCAGAGGGAGGAGTCCTGGGTTAGGGTTTTAGTCCTGGCTGCCCTAGGTGAGGTCTGTTCCCAGCTCTGTCATCGACTCCTGTGGGCTATGACCTAGAAACATAAGAATGGCCAGCCTCGGTCAGACCAAAGGTGCATCTAGCCCAGTGTCCTGTCTACCGACAGTGGCCAATGCCAGGTGCCCCACAGGGAATGAACAGAACAGGTAATCATCAAGTGATCCACCCCTGTCGTCCAGTCCCAGCTTCTGGCAAACAGAGGCTAGGGACACCATCCCTGCCCATCCTGGCCAATAGCCATTGATAGACCTATCCTCCATGAATGTATCTAGTTCTTTTTTGAACCCTGTTATAGTCTTGGCCTTCACAACATCCTCTGGCAAGGAGTTCCACAGGTTGACTGTGTGAAGAAATACTTCCTTTTGTTTGTTTTAAACCTGCTACCAATTAATTTCATCAGGTGACCCCTAGTTCTTGTGTTATGAGAAGGAGTAAATAACACTTCCTTATCTACCTTCTCCATGCCCGTCATGATTTTATAGACTTCAATCATATCTCCCCTTAGTTGTCTCTATTCCAAGTTCAAAAGTCCCAGTCTTATTAATCTCTTCTCATACGGAAGCCGTTCCATACCCCTCATCATTTTTGTTGTGAAGGCCAAGACCATAACAGAGTCCATAACAGACCTTTGGTCTGACCCAGTAGGGCCATTCTTATGTTCTTATCAACATTCTCATTTAATACCACCCACTCGAGTTCACCCATTTTAGTACTGAGACTTCTTGCATTTGTAGACAAGCTCTTATAACATTTCTCCATGTTTGGCTGTCTGCCTTCATGTGATGTAACTGACTGGGACTCTTTTTCGTTTGACTGTTTCTCTTCAGTTCCTACCTGTCCTTTATCAACTTTGATCCTCTCCTCTTTATGAGGATATAGAAAATCCCCGTTAAATAAAAAATAAATAAAATAAATTAATGGAGATATCCCGTCTCCTAGAACTGGAAGGGAAAGGTCATTGAATCCAGCCCCCTGCCTTCACTAGCAAGACCAAGTACTGATTTTGCCCCAGCTCCCTAAGTGGCCCCCTCAGGGATTGAACTCACAACTCTGGGTTTAATAGGCCAATGCTCAAACCACTGAGCTATCCCTCCCCCCTGTGGGCTTCATCTGACAAAGTGGGTTTTAAGGGATGTCTCTGTCCTGAACTGTGTGCTCAGCACCTGTTGGCTTTCCCTCCGCCCTTAGCTTAAAAACTCCTCTACAACCTTTTTAAGTTTACACACCCAGCAATCTGGTTCCATTTTGGTTTAGTGGAGTCCATCCTTTCTGTATAGGCACCTCCTTTCCCAAAAGGCTCCTCCAGTTCCTAATAAACCTAAAACCCTCCTCCCTACGCCCGCGTCTTTCAGAATGAAGTCTACAATGGCTTTCCCCCTGGTTACGTCCTCCTCTTTCTGAAACGAGTCGTCCCTACTACAGCCCGAGAACTTGCTGCAAAGTTTGCGGGTTGCCTTTTCCATCAGATGGCTGCACAGTTAAAGCCCCCCCTTGTTACTAGGACTTGCATTCTGGATAGCTCTGTTATTTGTAGTAGAAATACCTCCTCCTTTGGTTGGCTACCATGATGTCACCCCTGTTTCTCCCCCCCCCCCTTTTATTTTTATCTGGAGACTTTCTGGTCTGTCTCCCACCTCCTTCTGGGCCTCAGAACAAGTGTAGATGTTCTTGGTATATAATGCAACACCTCCTGTCTAGGCCCCTCTCCACACGGTGGTATCCGAGCTCCCCACCCTCACGTGGCCCCTTGGCAGTAGGGAAGCATCGTTCTGTTCCTTTCCCAGCTGAGCTCTAAAGTGACTTGCCCAGGGTCAGCCAGGGAGCGTGTTCCCGAGCTAGGAATCAAACTCAGGTCTCTAGCATCCCAGTCCAGAGCCCCAGCTGCTCACCCCACCTGCCTCTTGCTCCAGGGGCTCGGTTCTCAAGTGCAATCGCGGAGCGGCTCTCGCAGGCGGGAGTCCCACCCCGTCTCTCCCTCCACCACTCTCCTTTGGGGGTCACATTGCTTGGGATGGAGGGGAGGGCAGGGCAGTGCCATGGGCACCTCTTCCCTCCCCCCTCCCCGGTTAACCTGGACTGGTGCCTGCCTTCTGGCTGTCCCACCGACACCTCTTCTCCCGCCCATCCTCCAGGCGAGTGCGTGATCGCCCTGAAGTCCATGATTGGCAGCACCACCCAGCAGTTTCTCACCTACCTGTCCCACCGCGGGGAGGAGACGGGCAATATCCGGGGCTCCATGAAGGTCCGGGTCCCGGCCGAGCGGATGAGCACCCGGGAGAGGCTCTACGGTGAGTGTGTGTGGGGGGGAGGCTTTCCGCCTTTCAGGGGCTGCCTGCCAGGCACCCAGGGCTCCGAGGGGTTACACCCCGTGGGAACGCATGGCCCGACTGCCGCAGGTCCGATGGAGCCATTAGCCAGCAGCCAGGGAAGGGATTTGCCTAGAAGAAGCTGGGATGTTGTTCCCCAGTTAAGCAGAGATGCAGGCTGGAGCCGGGCCGCTGCTATTGCATGGCTCAGGGTTTGAATCTAGGCCAGGCCGGCAGCCGTGGGGAAGGTAGTACCATCTAGTGCAGGGGCGGGCAAACTTTTTGGCCTGCGGGCCACATCGAGTTTCCGAAATTGTATGGAGGGCGGGTTAGGGGAGGCTGTGCCTCCCCGAACAGTCAGGCATGGCCTGGCTCCCCACCCCCCATCCAACCCCCCAGTTTCCTGTCCCCTGACAGCCACCCCCCACCCCCCCCGGGACCCCTGCTCCATCCAACCACCCCTTCTCCCTGACCACCCCCGGGAACCCCTGCCCCGACTGCTCCCCGCCGCCAAATCCAACCCCCCCTCTCCTTCCTGACTGCCCCCCCCCGGGACCCCTGCCCCCATTCAAACCCCCTGTTCCCCGCCCTCTGACCACCCCAACCCTATCCACACCCCCGCCCCCTGACCACCACCCCCGAACTCCCCTGCCGTCTTTCCAACCCAACCCCTGCTCCCTGCCCCCTTACCGCGCTGCCTGGAGCACCGGTGACTGGTGGCGCTGCAGCCGCGATGCCCAGAGCAGCAGGACAGGCAGCCGCGCTGCCCAGCAGGAGCCAGCCGCGCCACCGCGCAGCACAGAGCACCGGGTTGGAGCCGCGGCCCGGCGAGAGCTCGCAGCCCCGCCACCCAGAGCATTGCGCCAGCGCAGTGAGCTGAGGCTGCGGGGGAGGGGGAACAGCAGGGGATGGGCCGGGGGCGAGCCTCCTGGGCCAGGTGCTCAGGGTCCCGCGGGCCGTAGTTCGCCCACCTCTGATCTAGTGAGTGGCTGGGGGTGGCTCCATCTCTCCACCGCTGGGGGTGCCCGAGAGACAAGGACTCTGGGGGCTGAGTTTCCCACTCACCCCCAGAGCTGGGGAGCCAGCGAGATGGTGCCAGGTGGGTAGAAGGAGCCCTCCAAGGGGCTTGGGGTGGGATCCTCACGGCCTGGGACTGCATCGAGCCAACCAGGCCCGGATGCCCAAAGGGAGCAACCCTGGGCAAGGCCCCGAGTGAACTAAGAGGGGCCTGCTCCGCCGCTGAGCGTGTGTCTCTCCCGCCCGCAGAGTGGATCAGCATCGACAAGGATGAAACAGGAGCTGCCAAGGGGAAGCTGCCGCCGGTCTCCCGGGCCAGCCAGGAGCACGCCAAGTAAGGGTGGGCTGGGGTGGGTTCGGGCTGTGGCAGTGACGCTCCGGGAAGAAGCCAGGTTGGTGGGGGGGGGGGGGGATACCTCAGGGGGGCGGATACCCCAGGGGTGTGTCTGTCCGGGCAGCCCTGTCACTCATGGGGAAGGTCAGTGACCCTCTGCACTGGCCTGGTCTCTCCCTGGCAGGAGGATCCTGGCCTGGGGTCAGGGGAGATCAGCAAGCAGTGGGGGGTGGCTTTTGGGGCAGGGCCCTGGCTGAAGAAGCTTCCCTGGAGCAGACAGGGTTGTCTGGGGCTGGAAGGTTTGGGGTGAAGGGGCAGCAGGGTATCGGTGCAACCCGCTGGCTTAGTGCGGGGCATCCCGGGTGCTGGCTGTGCACCGCTGAGGAACCCCTGCGGGGGTTTGATCCCCGGTGATGTCTGAAGCGCTGGCGAATAGACCGTAGGTTACAAGCCGGCCTGGGCCCGAGGGGACGGGCTGCGTGGCACCTTTCTAGCCCTGGAGTTGGGCCTGCGCCTCACTGGGCTTGGTGCTAGCACCCAGGTGGGTTGGGCCTCTCCTCCCTGAAGGTGTCTCCCCGGGGCCCGCGGTTCCCCCCTCAGGCTCAGCCCTGCCTCACGGCGGCTGAAGCAGCACCACAGCGCAGGGGTCAGTCTTGGAGCGCTGGCTGCGGCTGCAGGGGAAGGACACGGGCGCTCGGCCTCGCTTTCCTGGTATCCCCGGGAGGGGGAGAGGGGCATGATCATGGGAGCCCTGCGGAGAACCGGGGAGCTTCCAGCCGGGAGAGTATGGACGGGCCCTGCCTCCACTGACAAATAGTCTCCCCCTCTCTGCTAGATCCGCCGGACGGAAGCCCCTGCCAGGGGAGACGGCAGCCTGCCCCCTCGGGAAGCTGTTTGACGAGCCGGAGAAGCCCAGCGCCCTGACTGCCAGCCGCCTGCCAGCCCCGCTCCGCTGCACCTCCAGGGAGGAGACCTCCCAGACCAGGTCAGTGAAGGGCAAACTGGGCCCCCAGCCCCCTTGGTACCACCGTGAGCTAGAACAACGCAGCCGGAGAGCTGGCAGGACGTTCCCCCGAGGGAGAACGGTCGGGGAGCTCCAAGGTTGAGGGCCTAAGTGCCTCGGCGGTGACGTCTCAAGGGGCTGCCGGGGACTGTCCCATCAGGGAGAGATGCCTGGGGTAGAGGATCCTCCAGAGCCGGGGTACAGCTGAGAGGGGGGCCCGAGCCCTGTGCGTACCCCATAGCGAGAGACAGTTCCTGGTCCAAAGAGCCTGCAGGCTGCATGGACCAGCCTCTCCTCCTCCCTGGCCCTTGGCCTGTGCCTGGGGGTGACCATCCCGTCCTGTGCCCTCAGGTCCAAGCAGGACTCGGCCTCGGAGCCCGACGGCGGCCCCACGAAGAACAGCTTCAATAACCCGGCCTACTACGTGCTGGAGGGGGTCCCACATCAGCTGCTGGCCGCGGACCCCCCCGCCCCCTCCAAGGGGCTGGCCCCCAAGAACAAAGTGCAGATCACGGTGCCCGTGCAGCCGGAGTGGCGCCGCCAGCCGCTCCCGGGCCGGGGCGAGGAGAGCTCCTCGGACGAGGACACGGGCACGCTCAACCTGCCGCCCCCCGACTTCCCTCCCCCGCCCCTGCCCAAGGCCGTGGAGTTTGAGGTGGCCGAAAACCCTCTCTACGCCAGCGCCAAGGACCTGGCTGGGGCAGCTGGCAGGGAGGAACCCGGCACCGCCAAGCCGTGGGCTTCCGTGGCCTTCAGCGACCCCTTGGAGTCCAAGCTGGCCCCGCCCAAGCTACACCCCAGGCCTCCCCTCCCCCCCGGACCTGGCTTCCTGGTGGAGCCCCCCAACGCCCCCCAGGCCCAGGGAGGCCTCCTGGACGATCGCTCCTGCTCAGTGCTGCAGATGGCCAAGACCCTGAGCGAGGTGGATTATCCGGGCAGCAAAGGGGGCAGCGGCCTGGGGCGGGAGCAGCAGGGCCGGCCGGCCCCACATCTGCTCAGCAAAGGACGGCTGGACCTGCCCCCAAGGTGCATGCACCCGGACTACAGCCGGCCCATCACCTTCCCACCCCGCTCCATCCGGGAGAGCATCGAGGAGGACCTGGCTGAGGAGGTACGTGCAGGAGCGTGTCACAGGCCCTATGAGATCCGGGGTCCCTGTGCCCTCCCTCTGGGATCCCGCAGCCCCATGCACACAGGGGCAGGCTCTGCCAAGCTGCTCTGGCTAAGAGGCCCCAGGTTTAAATGGCCGAAGGCCGAGGGTTCTCAGCAGCCCTGGAATCAACGTCCCCTGTCCCCAGGAGTCAGGGGAACTGAGTTCTCCTCCCAGCTCTGCCACTGACTCACTGCACGGCCACGGGCAGCTCGCTGGCCTGCTCTGGGCCTCAGTTTTCCCATCTGGAGAATGGGCCTGCGGATACTACCCAACCCCCCGGGGGGAATGAATTCATCAGTCCAAAGTGACTGGGGTCCTGGAATGGAAGGTGCTGGAACCAGGCCCTGGGTTAGTCGGATTTCCCCGTGCTCGGCCCAGGAGGGTCTCAGGGGAGGGGGGGCAGCTGGAACCCCGGGGTGCCTGATGCACTGTGCCAATCTGCTCTGCGTAGGCGCTGGGCCAGGGAGGGAGGAGCAGCTCCAGCCTGAGCGAGTGCAGCGTGGGCGAGTGGCTCCTGGCCCTCGGGCTGGAGCGGTACGAGGAGGGGCTGATCCACAACGGCTGGGACGACCTGGAGTTCCTCAGGTGAGGGGGCCCGGCTCAGGGGGACGCTGGCTTGGCAGGAGTGGTGAGCCCCAGCTGGGGGCAGGGGAGTGAAGATGGGCACATCCTAGGGGGCGGGGATGGAGACAGCTGGGGCCCTACCAAACTCAGGGTCCATTTCGGTCCATTTCACAGCCAGAGGGTTTTTAAATGAGTCAATTTCACATTTTCAGAGGTTTACATCTGAAATTTCATGGTGTTCTAACCGTGGGGGTCCTGACCCAAGAAGAGGTCGTGGGGGGGGGTCGCAAAGCTGTTGTAGGGGGGTCGCAGGATTGCCACCCTCATTCTGCACAGCCGCGGAGCTTCCTGCAGCCGGGGGAGGTACCCGGAGGTGGGTCTCATCTCCCCCTGAGAACGGCCGTGTCCCGTCCCAGGACTAGCAGCTGGAGCCCGGTGCACGGGGAGCCCTGCCTCTCTCCCTGCCCTCCAGTAGCTCGATTTCATGGGGGAGGTCTGAGTTCGCGGTCCGTGACGTGTTTTTCACGGCTGTGAATTTGGGAGCAGGGAACGTAAGCAACAGGAAGGGATGAGACACCTGGGGGGAGAGCGATCGGTGTCCGTGATGGGACAGCCAGCGGTGACACAGGGCACAGGGCAGGGAGGGGACAGTCTCGCCGGTGAGATCGCCCCAGCCTGCCACGGAGAGCGACGCCAGCGCTGGGGCGGGGGGATTGAACAAGCTACATCTGCCCGGTTGGAGGGGGGAGTAAGGGGCAGCATGATGAATGGGGAGAGGGGCAGGGTGGGGAGCGTAGAAGGAGAACAGATGAGTAGAGACGTCTCCTGGTTGCCCAGGATCTTAGCAAATGCCAGCTGCTGGGGGCACGGCCCGCTCCACGGACCTGGCATGCCAACATCCTTCTGGCTCTCGCTCTCCATCCCAGCATGCTGACGGGTTCGGGAGCACAGGGTGGAAGTTTGGCCTTTATGCCGCTAGGGGGCGCCGCTGCCCTTCAGAACCGGGGACCTTCTCCCAGAGCGGGATCAGCTGAGAGGGGCAGCAGTCTATATGGTCCTTTATAGGGGCTCGGTCCTCTAGTGCAGGCGTGTAGTGCAAGGTGCCTCTTGTCCAGACACCTGGTTACCTGCCGCGTGGCACAGTTTTGGTGCATGGCTCCGGTCACCTGACGCCCGCTCCTGTCCTGCTGTAGTGGGGTGACGGTGCCACGTCTGCCCATGGCGGAGGTCTCTGCAGGGAAGGGCGCCGGGTAGGCGCCGCCAGCCTTCCTGGCAGGGAAGGGTCACTGATCCCGGGCAGGGGTCCCTGTTGGCAAACCCTGCTTTCTCCAGGCACCTCAGAAGCATGCGCCGGGGGGATCTCCCCGACGCCTGGGTCTTCTTGGTGACGTGAGAAGTCAGAGAAGTGTTTCCTAGTGGTTAGAGCAGGGGGACCATGAGCCAGGACGCCTGGGTTCTATTTGGGGCTCTGCCACTGACTCGTGTGGGTAAATAATATCCCCCGCCTGTGGTTGTCGGGGTGGGGGTGCTGCGAGGGTTAACCGGTGTCTGTGCTTCTCCAATCAGAGGGCGGCTGTTTAGTCACCTGATCTCCGGGGCTGCAGGGGGGGCTGGCTGCTGACTCCTGTCCTCTCCCCCCCTTCCAGTGACATCACGGACGAGGACCTGGAGGAGGCCGGGGTGCTGGATCCCAATCACAAGCGCCTCCTGCTGGAGAACCTGCTGAAGCTCAGGAAGTAGCAGGAATCTGCGCCTCCCACGCCAGGGCCCGGGCATGCCTCTCCTGTTCGCATCCCCCGGCCCCCTCCTGCCCCCTCCTACGTCAGGATCTCGGGGGCTTTCACTGTGCCTGCGCCCCCCTCCCCCTGGTGGGGAGGGAGGGGACTCGAGGCAGCCACGGGCTGCATCCCCATGGGGGGGCAGGGGCAGCGCGTGGGACACTGGCTTAGTGCTGCGTCTGCAGGGGGGCACCCCAAAGATGGGGCTGTGGGCGCGGAATGGGGAGGAGCCGCCCCACGGCAACCCAGATCCTACCTGTCCTCGCCTCCCATGGCTTCCTGGAGGAATCGGGCCTGAGCCAACCCAGAGCAAGGGGGCGATGGGTGGGAGGGGGGCAGAGAGCCGCACGTGGGCTGAGCAGTCCCATAGCTGGGCGTTGGAAGTGGCCGAGGCCTCACTGCAGAAGGCCTGGGAGCAGGGCGCTCTGCTGCCTAAGTTATTGCGTATTTATTGAACTAGGGGAAGAAGGTTTGTCTTGTTTGTTTCATTGCCAGGCAGCCTGGGCTTGCTCCGGTTTAGGCCTCTCCTCCTCCTTTGCACGGACTTTCCCCGTCAGCCAAGCCTGGCCCTTTCCTGCATCCCGTGGACTTGCAGTGCTGTGGGCAGGACCTCTCCCTCTTCCCCAAGCACAGGCGCTGCTGGGTTGCAGCGCTCCGGTCACCAGGGAGCGGAGACGAGCAACCAGGCTGAGCAAGGGGCTGGAGCGATCTATTGAGGGGAGCCCGCGAGCTGCTTAAGTGGGGACACAAGCCTGCATCCGCCCAGAGGGTGGGGAATCGCTGACTCGGAGTCAGAGGCTGGAATTAACCTGGGAAGCTTGGCCCAGAGCCGAGGAGGAATTCCTTGCCAATGCGCTGGATCTAGATGTTGCTTCTTTCCCCATTGGGGTCATGATAAAACAGCCGCCCCCTGTCTCCCGCCAGGCGCCTCGGCATCCTGGGATACGTCCCAGCCATGTGGTTAGCCAGGGAGGGCTGTCTGCGTCCAGAACGGTCTCTCCGCCCAGTGCCTCTGACCCAGCGAAGAATTGGAGCAGGCAGGGGCGTCTAGGGTCAGCGGGGGAGTAAAGACCATCTCAGCCCTTCTCATTGACTGTGGGAGCCCATGGCGGGGGCAATGGTCCCGCCACTCACTCCTGAGTCCTCTGTCCTCCTCTGGCCCCCATTATCTCCTCTCCTCCCCGGCTGTAGCGTAGTTACCCTTAGTATCCTGCTAAAGCACTCCCCGTGTAGACAGGGCCGACGGGCCACGCCCAGGGTCACAGGGGAAGTCTGTGGCGGAGCAGGAATTAAACCCACATCGCCCCCGGCCCAGGCAAGTGCGCCACCCACTGGCCAATCTTCCCTGGCATCCTTCCTGCCAGCTCAGCCCTGCCCATCAGGCGTCCAGCCAGGGTCCGTGCACTGCTGCCCTATCTTCTAGCTGCTCCTCACTGGGCATGGAGACCCAAGGGTCCTGCCTTCATCTGTGCCCGCCGTCCATGAGAGCAGGGTGCAGCGTTTGTACCCGGCACTTTATTCCCCCCCTCGGGTCGGAGACGTCATGGGGCACAGCCCATGGACCTTCGCGCTGCAGTGAGCGAGGGGGCCTTTCCCCAGGGAAGCGTGGGAGAACCCGCCTGTCCTTTGGGCCCACGGGGGGAATTGTCGGAGGACTGCCAGCTCTGGAGAGTGGCGCTCGCCTGCGTCCACACCGCAGAGGGGTCAGGTGAGCAGCTGCTGCGTTCAGCTCGCTCGAGCTGTAGCTTGTACCCCCGGCGGGCCAGCCCATGTGTGGGGGCGGGACTCAAGCTAGGGGCAACACCCGAGTTACAACATGAGTTCCCTCTGCAGCGAAGACAAGCCCCGAGTTCGCGTTCTCGCTGCCTGCCTGCACCGCGTTCGTTAGTTACACACTGGGGCAGCAAGCTCAGGTGCCCGCGAAGGCTACAGCCGTGCCCCATGTGCTGCTGTCTGGAGAGCAAGTCCTTCCACTGGCATCAAGTCTTTACCCACCAGTCTGAGCTGCCAGCAGAGAGTGGGAGGACGCGGCAGCTGAGACAGGCTACAGCAAAGTTGCACCCGCTGAACTGAAAGTGTTATTTCAAACCGGTTTAGTTAAACCAGAGCAAAACATAGTGTCAACGCCCTTAATCCAAATTAAACTTGGTTTATATCCACGTAGGTTAGCGACGTAAGGCCCCGCCAGCCCCACCCTCGCCCACTGGCGCTAACCCCGTCTCCATTAGCTCGTAGCAATGGCAGGCTGCTAATCTGGACCAACCGCCCGACGGAGATCCAAAGGCATTGAGCAAGCGTGTGGTGTTAACACCCGTCGCCTCTAACTCTGGAGCCAGCTGCGCATGGGGTCGATCCCGCAGTCTAAGGTCTGTGGCGCAGGGGACCGATACAAAGCTCCCTCGCTTTGTGGCGAGTTTGAATCCAGCCTGAGGCAGCGGTGGTGGCCAGGAGCTGTTGCTGGATGAGGTTAGTTCCAGCAGCCTGGGCTGCGGCCAACTCTCCAGGTAGGGTGAGCGCCTTTCATCCCCTTGCCGGCGATCTCTGGGGGAAAGCCGTGGGCTGCCTCCTTGACTTTCTCTAGGCCCCTTTCCCTGTTAGCCATCAGGAATATCCCAGGGGATGCGCTGAGTGGCACAGGGCGAGATCAAGCCTTAAGGACGGGCGAAAGGCCAGAGCACGTCCAGGACTAATGTGACTGGGTTTGTTCACAGATCAGTTTTAAGCACAGTTCTCATTTCAAGATACCAGCTGCCAAGGGGAGCGGCCCTGGCTGTGCCAGCCCCTTAGGCTGGTGCTGAGGGCAGGTCCCTGCTCACCGATTTCCCTTTCCGACCAAAGGGATAGTCACTGTGATTTGGTTCCAATGAGGACCTGCCTGTCAGTGAAACATGGCTGGCTGCTGTCCCTGTGTTAGCACAGCTGTCTCTGGGCTAGGATGGACTGGAACCTTGTTCTGAGCGACTGGTTTGTGGACATGGGGCGAGGAGTCAGGAGCCCTGGCTTCTGTTCCCAGCTCTGATGCTGACTTGCTTCCCTGGCCCTTTGGCCCACTCATTTCACCGCTCTGTGCCTCAGTTTCCCCATCTGTAAAATGGAGGCAGTGATGCTCATCTGCTTTTCCGGAGCCGTACAGAGGTGAGCACGCATGGACCGGGAGACGTAGCCAACCCTTGTAGGACTCTGCTAGATCATTGGAGCCTTGGCCCATCCCAAGGAGAATCTCCGATGGTGATTAGTGGCTCTCACAGAGAAATGAAGGACGTGTTTGGTTTCCAATGCGGTTTAGCTATCAGGCGCGGGGAGGAGCCGGTGCCCGTGAGGCCTGGCAGGCTCTCTGCACCCCACCTTGTCTCTTTGTTAGTTAGTGAGGCGTTTGGTGTGACTTTAATCCTACTAAACTACCGTCGTGTTGTGTTTTTTGTTGTGGTTGAAATCACGAGCTATTTTTTTAATGTTTAATTTAATTGTTATTTGAAACTCTCTTCTTATGCTTAATATTATTTCTCGGGGGAGGCGGGAGTCGAGAATTTTAAGCGTTAGGATCTGAAGACTTTGCGAGATGTTCACTTTTTATGTCCAGGAGTATCACATTCTGAAGTAATAAAAGGGCTTGTTTGCTTAGAAACTGCTACCTGTGTTTTCTCCCTCGGTCTCTGGCTGGGTCACTACTGGGATGCGAGACCCACCCAGCTGCAGCAGAAGTCACGCTGGTGAGTCAGTAGGTGGTGCTCTTCCCTTTGACGCTGTACTGACCTAATTCCCGTCCATGGTGCTGTGTAGGAGGGGAGTGCCAGCATGCAGGTGGTGGGCAGAACCAAAGGCCTCACTATTTCTGCTCATTAAAGCTCTCACAACACGATAGTTCTCACGTCCTGCTCAAATTCCATCTCGGTAACATTGATCCCGCCTCCCTTAGCTTCCCCGGCAGCCTCAAGCGGATATGCTATTCGCCTTCATTTCCTGCCCCAAACCGGCAAGCCGTGTTGCTGTGCGCTGTTAAACAGCTGCTGTGTTCCTCCCCAGAGATGGCTGCCTTGCAATTTGGGGGTCTATTGGCTCCAAGATAGTGACTCAGCAAGTCATCTTTTTATAAGACCAATTTTGAACCCTGCCCTCTCTAATTTCCTCAGAATGAGACGTTAACACTTGCTGCTACGACGTCCACCAGCTGGTCAGGGAATCTGGGCCATTGGGTCCGATTGTGCTTGGAGCTTTTAATTCCCCATATCCTGGAATCCAGAGATCCTCCGGAATGGCCGTATTCCAAGCTCCTGGTTTTAGATTCTCATCTCCGCACACAGGCACGGACAAGGTGGGATAGATAGGAGAAGGGGATCACCGGCAAGATCTTGTCTACACCAGCCATTTGCTCCAGGTTCAGCCACCATGGCCAGGCCTGATATAGACAGGCTGAGCCAGGATTTGCATTAGTTCTTCTTACCTGGTTTCAAGCAGAGGCCACCTGCACCAGGTCAAAGCAAATCGTTTCTTAGACCAGTGGTTTTCAAACTGTGGGTCGCAACCCAGGACAGAACGTAAGGCCCTGGGTCGCGGAGGCTCTGGTCAGCACCACTGACCGAGACGTTAAAAGTCCCATCGGCGGTGCTGCCCGGCTACGACAGGCTAGTCTGTACCTGTTCCACACCGCGCTGTGCCCTGGAAGCAGCCAGCAGCAAGTCCGGCTCCTAGGTGTGGGGGCCACAGGGCTCTGCATGCTGCCCCCACCCCAAGCACCAGCTCTGCACTCCCATTGGCCAGTTCCTGGCCAATGGGAACTGAGGGGGCGGTGCCTGCTGGCAAGAGCTGTGTAGAGCCGCTTGCATGCCTCCGCCTAGGAGCCGGACCTGCTGCTGGCCGCTTCCAGGGCACAGCGCGGTCCACATGCCAGGACAGACGGGAAGCCTGCCTCTGCACCCCAGCTGTGCCATTGACTAGGAGCTGCCCGAGGTAAGCCCGTGCCCCAACCCCAGCCCTGAGCCCCCCAAACCTGGAGCCCCTTTCTGCAGCCCAAACCCCTCATCCCTG